AGGGGGCTTTTGTAGAGATAAAACTAGCCTTAATTTGCGAATGTTTTGCTTGAAATTATTGACCAGACAATCTTAAGTTCTCCGTTTAACCGCGCTCTGGTCTGTATTTAATACTTTACTGTTTGGTTTCACATTCTACTATGTTTTTTTTAATCATAACCAAAGTTAACATGATTTATAGATCGCCCCATATATAAGGTAATCAGTCTTGCATTCTGGATTCCACGGCTTTGATTCCAGATTCCAGCAACTGGATTCTACAGTCCTTGTCACAGGAAAATGGATTTTGATTTTGAACCGTTAGCGGGATTCCGGATTCTTTAAGCTGAGTCCAGGATTCCAAAGCCCAGAATCCCAGATTCCATATGATCATAAGCAAAACATTCTCGGATGGAGAGGAGAAGTCGTTACCCCACGTTGCCATGGTAGCAAAATTTTTGGATGACAACATGCCGAAAACGTCACTTAAAAAGTGAATTCGCACTGTTTCAGACTTTATCGATCTTATTCAATTTCATTTAATTTTCTGGGGTTGAATTCGAAAGTACCATATCAAAGTTGAGAAAAAGGAAAAGGAAATTTTTGTGTTGACACCTACTCCATCAAAGCGGGCGCGAGAAATGAGGAATCGTGCAACGACAGCTAAGAGCTTGATGCACGTGCAAAGGTTTTTGTTTTGCTAACTATAAACCTATTGCTTTTTTGCCGTTGTCGTTGCCGTCGCCGCCTTTGTTGCTTAAGCTTCATATTAGTGTGATCCAGAAATTTTGCTACCATGGTAACGTGATGTCATGCTTCCCCTCTCTATCCCGGGGTCCAAATTACCTCAACTGGGGAGATGTAAACACAGAGGGATGTGGGCAGTAATCTTTAACAAATTCCTTTCAAAATAATAATTAACCCGACTAGCTACCTTGCGTGTGTATATGTTTTTCTTTTAGAATAAAGTGGTAATGAACTCTACTGCAAAGGAGTGGACTAACCTTCAAATCCAGTGGAAGTCTCCAAGGAAGTACCCAGCAGGAAATATCCATATAAGGTGAGTATTGCGGGATTAAATTGGGTAAAAGGTTGGTGACGAACGTTACAACTAGCCGGCGAGACCATGCAGTGAAGAGACGTTAAGAATAAGGAGAACAGGGATGGACCATTACCGATGACCAAGTGTTTAAAATATTAACAAATTCTAGATCTTGGTTTAAATAAAATCAAAGGTTGTCACCACCACAACTGACAACATGTCGCGAACAAAAGTTTGGCAGATCGCGGCTTAGTGCGGCAACCTGTATAAAGCGGGCAGCTCATTAAGTAGCCTATTCCAGGCTTTTTTAGATCTTGGGGCGTCGAAAAGAGATGTGGGCAGATAAAAGAGTCAGGGAGTAGGGAAGGGGGTTCTTCACTCTACCGTCTGATTAAACGGACATCTTACACTAAACAGAAGCCTCCCCTGCCTGGTTTTTCCTTCCAAGTTTTTATTTTTTCTGTAAAACAAACCTGCGTGATTTAGCCGATAGCAAAGACCAGCGACTGCGGCTCATAGTGTCCGCCCGCTCATAACAGGTTTCAAAATAAAATAAAAACAGAGAGCTTATTGGGCGTTAGTCAGTCTGAAGCATTCCAAGTGTGTGTATGTACTTTAGTCTGGATCGTATTCCTTCTAGGGCCAGTGTGATTAAGGAGTACGGTGTTTCCTGGGATGGAATCAACGTGACTTTACACTGTAAGTCTTCGGTATCATGTTTGATCTCCCTGCACAAAGGCAAAAATGGCAATGAAGAGCTTGACGAAAATGAAACTGTTTTAAATTGATAAAACGTGGAGTAGGGTTGAGGTTGAGTAGGAAGGCTTGTTCTTATTTCTTGTAAAAAAAGCCATGCCCAGTGTTAAAAGACATTAAAAACTTTACAGACAACATTTTCACAGGGCCAAGCGAGCGTATTGTTTCAGTCTCGTCCCGGTGCGAGAATTGGACGAATTCGTGAGAGATTTATCCGGTGGATAGCGTTTCCTGGTGCCTGATCTGTCAAGACCACGAGATCATTATGAAGATTAGCACCTTTGGGACCAAGTGGACTGTCAGTAATAGAGATGTCCGTGAGGCGCGTTTTCTTATGGGGGTAACGCAATATTTTGAGTCTTAAGCTAATACTTTGCCCTTGATTTATTGCAGATGAGTGCCCTACGCCCGGTTGTTATCTTCCTGATGGATGCCCACACGGTCTTGCTAGAAATAAATATGGATGCATAACATGTGAATGCGCAGGTGAGTGCTGAGTGAAATGCGCATCGGTGATTAGCCGTGGATATTTAACAATCATAAAGGTTGAAAATACCGGCGTAAAAAATAATGAAGATGAATTACATTGCTTTTCATAATACGCCACTTTCACATCTCCCATAGTGCACCTCATTTGAACCCAACACTTTGCATAACCTTTGTTTTTCATTTCTCCTGTGTATTACAGCCGTCCCATGAGAAACTGAAAACAATGCTTATGCAAATAAGGTGCATTATGGGAAATGTGCAAGTGGGGTATAAACATACCCAGGAGGTCCCTAGTTTGGGTCTTATATCAAAGCGGCCTTCGTTTTGATAAATCAAAAGGTGTTGCTCTGTCATAACACTGTGTGTCATGTAAAATAGACCGTCTAACACAAATCAACTTCACAAGGCACCCTTATGCTGGTGTAACAGAAGGAGCCTAACACTTTATTGGATAACGCCGGTGCTGTCCATATCGTCTGCGTGCGCAGTGAATAGGTAGTCAGCGCAACCCTGTTGGAAAACTTAAGCGTTTATGATATACGGTGTTTTCACATGACGTCACGGCGGCCATATTGGTGTCCCAAAACAATGAAACGGCGGCCATGTTGATGTCCCAAGCCAATCCTCTGGGAGCTAAACTCTTTTCTTATGCAAACGCTTTCTTTTGTTCCAATAAATTTGCATAGATGCTGGCCACGTGAGTGAAAACACTCTATATAAGCCCCTTAGCGCAGCTTTAAAAATACGTACCATTCTGGGATTAAACTGTGCCCATCCAACCCGCTCCTAACGCAACATTTTGTTCTTAGTTAGAAGTTAAAAAGTGTTAGCTTTGATTAGGGGAAGGGTAGGTACCAGAATCTAATACTGTTAAGGATTTTTTTAAAAGAAATCACCAGGTGCCCATTATGTGACTAGTGTGATACTTATTTTCCACCCATTGATTTTCAATCGGAAATGCAATAATTGTCGCGGTCTGCAATATTGTACTATTTGTACGTCTTCCAGCATACCGCATGCAATCAGATCCTACGCCTTGACCTCTAGTTTGAGCGTGTTCTGCCTCTGATCCCTGCTACAACTGTTTTCTTGTTCGCAGGTGTGGCAGCCATCACTGTCCAGTTTTCCAGTCTCCTCTTCATTGCGATCGCCTTGCTTTACAATTTCATGTAGAAATAGACTTTTCATTTTGTTACTGGCTTTTGGCTGATCTGTTACAAAACAGAAGAGGGCGAGACGAAACCGAGTTGTTGTTTCGTTTTTAGCCCTTGAGGAAATAATGTCTTACGTTTCGTTTTCGATGCACCTTCCAGTTTTCAATGCCTTGAAAAAATAAAACTATTGGTCGTTTGTAAGTAAAATAAAACGGAATTAGAAAATCATGTTGCAGTTTCAAACTATATTGATAATAGCTGGCACAACGCAGGCCCGATTTGCTACATTTGCAAATAATTATTTCAACAGACACAAAACTGAAGCGTATTTTGAGAAGTGAAATTTTGATTCAGTTTAAGCAAAGTTGCTCTCTCGTCAGTTATAATCTATTATTTCAAAATACACCGATATGTGATTTAAAGGAAACAAATTTCTTTAACTTAAATATTTAGTTACACAGGAGTCCATAATTAGTTACGTAGTCATCTACTTGAATGTTTTTCCGTGACGTATCACTGAACCCACGTTTTGTTTTTTTAAGAAAGAAAATGTAGTAGTGTAGTATTGTACATTGCCAATAAATGCAAATTAATTATCTCACGCTAGACTCGTAGTTTTATCTATTATTTTAACGTCAAAACGTTTGTTTCTGTGAAGAAACTGAAGGATGATTCTCATTTTGATTCTTAACTTTGTGCTCGGTAAAGTTTATCATGGAGCCCTCGCGCCAAGACAAGTTTATCAAGTAACTCATGAAACGCCGTTCGCTATATTTTAATTCACTTTCTCCACAAATCAAAAAGTCGTCCAGTTTGACTTAATTGCATAGCGTTTCAACCAGAGATCGCCAACAGTGTCAGTAAATCGGGACCGGCGAAGTTCTGTCGAAGTTAGCTCGAAGTTGTAGATCGTAGTAGTTGGACGTGTCAGATCAATCCTCGCTTTGAAACAGAGGCTTGACGCAACTAGAAAATGGCCTGTTGCAGATTTTTGGTGTCTGGCGTTTTTCTTCAGAACGAGGGTCGAGATGCGTGCCGCTGTGCATGTCTTTCCTTTATGTTTCGCTGCAAGCTTATATTGGCGAGGTTGTGCATGAAGACAACTTTTTTATTCGTACTTGTTGAATTCGAAGGTAAGTTATCAGTATAATTCATTTGCAATGATTTTGCCATGTTTTGCAGTAGAATAGATGGAGATCTCGAAAAATATGTCAGTCTTTTGCTGGGAAAAGCTTTTTCTGCGGAAGTTTTTAAACCAAGTCATAAGATCACTGAAGCTAACTAGTGTTTAGTTGTCGTGATAGTCGAGCTATTAGGGAGCTTAAGCAAAGACGACGACAACGGCAACTAGAATGACAGAAAAGCAATAAGTGTCATAGATTTACTCAGATTAGCAAAACAGAACTTTGCACGTGGATAACACTACATTTCTTTGCCGTCGTAGCACGACGAATTTGGATTTATATGGGAATATATACTGGGACGTATATCCGGATGTGTACGTGCAGTAAGCTGCTGCCCATGCCCATATCAGAAACCCGTTTTGAAGAAACAGTTTTCAAAAATGATTGCGTATTCTCTTTCTGATATGTGCAAAATTGCCTTTCGTGCCTTTACGTGCGTTAATTAGTTAACGCACGCTGATTGCCTAAGAACACGAAAAGCTCGAAATTTTTAACGAATTCATTTCATCTTCTGTTCTGATAAACTCATGAGAAGTACTTACCTTTCCCACAACGCAAGGCATTCAGTTCCTTATCTGTCTTTTGAGAGCCGAGTATCGTTTGTCTGTAAACAGAAGGATGTTTGTCCCATTCGTATTTCGGCGTTTTTCTTCCATTGCCTGTGGGCAAATCCCATTTCTCCAGACTGATAACAGGCTAATCACAGTCCCCACTACTACCCGACATCAAGAACTGCTGTATAACAAATAACTATGTGTAGAGAGCTTTAGATTTGAGGACGAGAACGAGCGAGTACGAGATTTAACTTAAAGTTTTTGCGCGTGTGTTCTAACAAAGAACACCCCGGAAAGCTTCCTTTTACTTTTTTTCACCAAAAAATTTATCACGGTTAATTTGTACTGAAGGAGGTTACGCTCTCTCCCGATAGCAAAATGATAAAACGTCTCACATTTGATGACTCATTCCCGGCACTACGACATTCTCGCTAAAACTTGTAGTAGACTGACGACGGCTACAAATTTTCCCGCCAAAATGACGTTGGTTCGCCCGCGCGCACTACTTAGTATTAGTAAAATCTCGTTGTCGTAGTCGTCCTCGTCCTAGAATCTAAAGCTCTCTAGCGTTGAATGTACGAGCGCCTGTTTTCACCTGCAGGCCAAACGGCATGATGTCAACACCGACGTTAGTAACATGGCTTATATGGAGCCTAGGTGTGCTTTACGTTGAGAATGCCGAAGCAGACACTCGACTTCCCTGTCCAAGTGTGCAGAGGGACTTTTATCCCGGAGTTGCACCTCAGGATTCATCACCACCCTATGTACTTAACGTGACTGACAAAGATGGTCAGCCTCTTTATGATCTGCGTTACCAAACGGGAGATGCTACACACCTAAGTAAGATTTGGAGTGTGGGTACAGGAGAAAATTAGCTTGATTTGAAGGCTAATATTGAGCGTTTTCTCATGACGTCACGTCCGTTATTTTTGTGTCCCAATTGAAACGGCTGCCAGTCCTGTGGGAGTTGAACCTTTTGCTTACGTAAAAACTTTCTTTTGTTCCAATAAATTTGCATAGCTACTGGTCACGTGACAGGAAAGGCTCTGGGGTTATGTTTAGGGATATCCTTAGTTACACCAATTAAATGGAATCCAGTACGTTCCAAGGTGAAGCTGCTAAACTCTTCAATAAACCACCTTTATTAGTTAGAAACTGCTCAGATTTTAGTACTTTTTCTAAAGCGACATTTGACTATGTAACGGAAACTGAGAATTAACAAAACATAGCTGTACATAGTATAATTGTATTTTATTTTTTATTATACATAAATTTTTGAGGAAGGAGGGCATTGTTATCCTGACATAGTTTTTAGAATAGTTTCATTCAAATTCCTAGTAATGTAATAGTTAGTCTTTTCGTTTTGTTTTTTGTTACACTTATTTTCTTTTATCATCCAGGTGAAGAGCCTCCTTTATGGAAATATTGGAAATAAAGTTATTATAATTATTAATTAATTAATAATAATTATTATTATTTGTTTCCCAATGTCCTTCAATGTCGTTCATTGATGTTGTTTCCCCATTTCCTATCTTTCATCCTTCCAGTCTCGCTGAGTGGCCAGCAAACCGGAAATAAAACAGAGACGTTTGTGGGGTTCATCTTAAACGTATACAACGAGTTTGAGGATGAACCAAGTGGTCATTTTGTGGCACCATTGCCTCAGGGAGTAAAGAAAGAAGAGTGTCATTACAAAAACCGGTCTTTTATGGTAAGTCGCATATACTAGTTTCATTTTTTCACAACTCCATAAATCAAATTACAGTCAACTCTCTCGTAAGTGACCACCCTTGGTGTACAACAGAGTGGTCGCTTACTGGAGGTGGTCTTTTTCGGGAAAAATCAAGAAAATAACCTCAAACTGAACTGATTAACATAGTCACATAAAGTTAATACCTAAAAAGCTCAAACTTAGGCAAATTAAACTTCTGGCAATAATCTTGTACATCGAATAGCGCTTGGAGCTGTTGAAACTTTGTACATAACGTTTTGCNGTACTTAACGTGACTGACAAAGATGGTCAGCCTCTTTATGATCTGCGTTACCAAACGGGAGATGCTACACACCTAAGTAAGATTTGGAGTGTGGGTACAGGAGAAAATTAGCTTGATTTGAAGGCTAATATTGAGCGTTTTCTCATGACGTCACGTCCGTTATTTTTGTGTCCCAATTGAAACGGCTGCCAGTCCTGTGGGAGTTGAACCTTTTGCTTACGTAAAAACTTTCTTTTGTTCCAATAAATTTGCATAGCTACTGGTCACGTGACAGGAAAGGCTCTGGGGTTATGTTTAGGGATATCCTTAGTTACACCAATTAAATGGAATCCAGTACGTTCCAAGGTGAAGCTGCTAAACTCTTCAATAAACCACCTTTATTAGTTAGAAACTGCTCAGATTTTAGTACTTTTTCTAAAGCGACATTTGACTATGTAACGGAAACTGAGAATTAACAAAACATAGCTGTACATAGTATAATTGTATTTTATTTTTTATTATACATAAATTTTTGAGGAAGGAGGGCATTGTTATCCTGACATAGTTTTTAGAATAGTTTCATTCAAATTCCTAGTAATGTAATAGTTAGTCTTTTCGTTTTGTTTTTTGTTACACTTATTTTCTTTTATCATCCAGGTGAAGAGCCTCCTTTATGGAAATATTGGAAATAAAGTTATTATAATTATTAATTAATTAATAATAATTATTATTATTTGTTTCCCAATGTCCTTCAATGTCGTTCATTGATGTTGTTTCCCCATTTCCTATCTTTCATCCTTCCAGTCTCGCTGAGTGGCCAGCAAACCGGAAATAAAACAGAGACGTTTGTGGGGTTCATCTTAAACGTATACAACGAGTTTGAGGATGAACCAAGTGGTCATTTTGTGGCACCATTGCCTCAGGGAGTAAAGAAAGAAGAGTGTCATTACAAAAACCGGTCTTTTATGGTAAGTCGCATATACTAGTTTCATTTTTTCACAACTCCATAAATCAAATTACAGTCAACTCTCTCGTAAGTGACCACCCTTGGTGTACAACAGAGTGGTCGCTTACTGGAGGTGGTCTTTTTCGGGAAAAATCAAGAAAATAACCTCAAACTGAACTGATTAACATAGTCACATAAAGTTAATACCTAAAAAGCTCAAACTTAGGCAAATTAAACTTCTGGCAATAATCTTGTACATCGAATAGCGCTTGGAGCTGTTGAAACTTTGTACATAACGTTTTGCAGCAATGTTACAATCATTACAGCCATTTTTCGTAAGTGAGTTGTTATAATATGTCAGCACGCTTTCTCACCGCTATCAAAAGTGAACTTTTGTGACTTTTTCTTTCTCCTTCTAAACTGGTGCGGTCCCCAAGAAATCAACTCCTGGAAAATTCGCCTACGTTTGACATTTACAGCGAATTAGAACAAACGCGCAAAGTTTGAAGAAACGCGAATTCAATTTAAAAAAAGTGACGTTTTTGCTGCCGTCGCCGTCGTATATATAGTACGGCGGGACAATAGCCGTCGTGTACGAACACACGAAAAGAACTCTGGCGATGCTGTTCGCCGATTGGGCACAATAATACAAAGCATTTTTTGTGCCCAATCAGGAGCCAGCATTTGCTTGACCGTTTGGAAATGGTCCGGTGACAATTGGTACCCAGGGGCTTTTCCGCTCGTGCTTGAATACTTTCGTCGCACCTTTTCTCCTGACCTGACCGACTGCCCCTGGGTCTCCGAGGATGATCACATAGCTATGCGGGATGAAAATTTAAGGCAATATGAAATCCATTCACCAAAGCGAGTTTAAGCAGCGACACTTTTGGGCGACGCACATCGACCTGACGTGCATTTTTGCACTTTTCAGCCGTGATTTTCAATAAATGTTTGGTCAAATCGTCTCTATAAGAGAAAAAAAAATCTTCAGAGCATTAAAAATTGGTAGGGTCAAGGCAAGTTAAAGAGAAAAAGGCTCACTTCCGGTTGACTAGCGTCGCTCAAAAACGTCGCTCCTTAAACTCCCTAATAAATCCTAACGAACAC